CCACTCTTGGTATTTATACATTTGTAACACACCTCACTAACTAACTAAGACCACTACCAATCATACATAAACACTTGTCATAATCCTATGCACTCATAGTATCATCACTCTAACATCCCCCTCAAGCTCGTGTGGCAGATTGCCAAGTATGAAATTGGAACAATTACGAGTGAACTGGGGTGAACACAAGCCTTTGGTGAACATGTCGGCATATTGATCTGCAGAGGTAACAAACTGCAAAATAATTGTCCTTCGATGAACTCTTTCACGAACAAAGTGGCAATCAATCTCTATATGTTTGGCTTTAGAGTGCAATACAGGATTAGTCGCAAGAGCCATTGCTGAAATGTTATCACAATTCAAAACTGGAACAGAAGGATAACCAACATGCAAATCTCGAATAAGTTGTTGTATCCAGATAACCTTAGCAGTGGTTGTAGCCATTGCTCTATATTCAGCTTCAGTGGAAGACCTACTCACTGTATGCTGCTTTTTAGAACTCCAAGAGATAGGAGTATCTCCCAAAAAAATGACAAAACCCGTGGTTGAACGACGATCATTGGGATCCCCTGCCCAATCAGCATCTGTATAAGCTTTCAACTAAGATGAACCTAATTTAAAACACAATCCCAAAGACATAGTGCCTCTGAGATATCGCAGAATACGTTTCACAGCAGCAAATAAGTGGCTAAGGGTGAATGCATAAACTGACATACTTGATTGACATAAAAAGAAATATCTAGTCTTGTAAATGTTACGTATTGCAGTGCCCCAACAATACTTTTATAAGTGGTAGGATCAGAAACAGGTTCACTACCATGATTCAGAAGCTTCTAATTAGGATGACAAGGTGTGGGAAAAGGTTTATAGTCCAGCATATGCATATTTTGAAGGAGTTCTTTGACATACTTGGTCTGATGAACAAAGAGTCCCTGATCCTGATACTCAATCTGTAAACCAAGAAAATAATGCAACACACCTAGATCTTTCATGTCAAACTCACTAGTTAACTGACTAATAACATTATGAACCTTCACATCATCATTACTAGTGAGAATGATATCATCAACATATAATAAGAGAACAATAATTGATGAACAATCACACTTGACAAATAATGAAGGATCTGCATATGAGATTGAGAGTTACAAGGAAAAGATATACAAGACTTATTAAGTGTTGCAATGACAATGGAATGTGCAGGATCGCCTAATCAACAATGCCACAATGTAGAAGAAATCTTTTGACCCACAAATGCAACTGGATTAAAAACAGGAGAAATAGACCTCTGTGGTTTGATATGGGAAGTGGATAGACAACATTATTACTCAGCCCTTGGAATAGCACTCTCCCGATGACCTTGTCCTATAGACAGAGAGAAACATCATCAATGATACAACGACACTAATTATCTTTGCACAACTAATTCATAGATAATAAGTGTTGTGATAGTTTTGGAACATGTAACAAAGAGTTTAACTTGAAATTATGTGACTTAGTGAGAAGAGAAGAGGAACCAATATGTTTGATAGCTAAACCTTCACCACTAGCAGTGGTCACAGTATCATTTGATGGATAAATTTGTTGCCATGTGCAAGTTTGACAAATCTGAGGTCATATGGTTAGTTGCTCCCAAGTCAAGAAACCAGAAATCTTGTTGAAGAGTTGAGGATGATGCACCAGCTCGTGCTTGCACAGCAAGAGGAGGATTTTGTGAGGATATAATTGAGAGATACATATGTGGTATGACAGGATACTGAAACTCGAAGCTATTAGACTGTGGAATCATGCCTTGTGAAAGACCACATGGATTCTAGCTAGGTGCTTCACCATATGACCCAGTAGGCATTGGAGTTGGCATAGACGAGGATAAACCCTGAGAGAAATGCTATGATGTGTCTGTGAAATTCTTATTCCGATCAAAGCAAGTAGCAGCAACACGGCAGCCTCTGTGACAAATTTGACATCCATGTTGAAAACAATTCAATGCAGAATGACCTTTGCGATCACATATTTGCATAATGGCCTCTGTGATCACATATTTGCAGAATGGCCTTTGCAACCCTAGAAAGAACAAGGCGCGAAGAAGACCAAATGTGTACGTTTCTCTTTGTTTTTTTTTCCCTCCTAATCGTGCTGTTCGAAATCACGGACCTCGGGCTTGGGCCTAATGGGCCCAATTATGAGGCCTATTATCTCCGGTCTTCTCGTTCTACTTCTAGTTACCCAAATTAAGAACGTGCTGGTTCGCTTTTAGCGCGAGAGAGAAATGGAGGCCCTGATTGCCTCGTACGGAAACTCGTCGTCGGGCTCAGACTCCGAGACGCCGGCTCCACCTCCACCACCACCTCCGGAGCTCAACAACCCTCAAGAACCGACCCCTGCGCTGCCTCCACCTCCTCTGTCACTTCTCGACAGCCCCAATTCCTTCGGTAACCTCTGATTCCCATCAATTTTCATCTTTTAGCTTTCTGTTGTGATGGCTTTTTCCGAGTTGCCCACCAAGTGTTTGATATTTTGCCTCTGAAGGATTTCTGGACTTCTCGGCAAGCGTCCAGCCGAGCAGAGTTCGGAACTTTCCTCACGTCGAAGGGAACTACGCAGTACATGTATACATCCCAGGTTATCAAAATTCTCGAAATTTTCAGCTCCATTAGCAAATGCGATCGCTTTGCACTTAGTTTTTGCTTGTTTAATTGTGTGGTTCCAGTTTATATACCACCAGCACCAAGGAAAGAGATGGCCTTGTTTTTGAACAAGCTAGCTTCTCTGGTGCCTTGTCTCCATGCGGTTGACGTTGACTTCCCGCTTGACATTCTGCGTAAGGACGAGCACAAGCTTGAACAAGTTGCTTTAGGCAGAGAGTTCCATATAAGTCTCGGAAGAACTGTTCCGATTCGGGTGCACCAGATTGATTCCTTGGTGACAATGCTGCGGCAGAAGCTTCAGATTCAGAGGCGGTATGGTTACATTTACATTCTCTTGTCTGCATTGCGTGAATTTAGTTCTGTTATTTAACATAATTCTGTAAGCCTGCAATTTTTTCGTCCATTTTCGGTTTAACACATTTTGTTATTGTGCAACAGGTATTGGATTGATTTTAGCAAGTGGGAGGTTTTTGTTAATGATGATCAGACCCGGACCTTTGTGTCTATCGAAATCATTGCTGCTGGGTTAGCTGAGGTATGATTGCTAGCTTTCTCTCTTGGTGCAATTCTAAATGTTTTCAGTTGTTATATGGGCTTAAGATTTAGTAAGGACTTGCCGAAAGTCATGGGATTTTGAAATATCGATATCTTGCTTGCTTATTAGCTTAGATTTGGTCTTCGATGCACTTGTAACATGAAAAACACAAACGAAAACTAATGCATGATATGCTCATGGTTTTAACATGTGTTGTCCTGGCGTAAATCATGTTCCTAATCCTGTCATGTGAGTATAAGCCTATGAAACTCAGGGCATGTTTGGCGGGCCGGACAAGATTGGAATTGGTATTTCAGACTAGTTAGGTTAGGATTGAACTGGATAGGATAGGTTTTTTTGTCTAAAGATTGGTGTAGACTGTCTTAACCAGACTAGGAACGATGGGATTTAAAACGTGAAACAGATCCGCGACATCCCAACGATGACCCGCCCACCCAACAACTCTGCTCGTGACTTGCAACACCTCTCGTACCCTCCACGCCCCTTGAGGCCCGTCAGACCACTCTGATATCCTGGAGGGGTGAAACGTGGTTACTAGAAGCATACCTGTTTTCGTATTAATGCACAGTTGAAGCAGCTTTCATTGTCTACAAGTCTGAAATATTTCAACTTCCATTGATTTCAGATAACAAAGCAGATTCAAGCTGTGAATGAGGTGTATAAGCTTCACAATCTTCCTGAATTTTACAAGGTTAGCTTTTTCGTGCTTTTCAAACTCGAAATTACTTACTGAATATATGACAATATATTGGAGCAAATGATTGTGCCTGAATGCTACTCATTGCTCAAAAAACTAAATCACTTCATGGGGTGTTGGTGATCACAGGATCCGCGCCCTCACATCTCGGTAGCTTGGGCATTGGGTGACATCGGCAATTCCCTGAAGAAAGTGGTTGAAGAAGAAAGACGAAGATCTACCATCGGAGGATCGTTACAGAAATGTATTTTTACCAGTAAATTCAATGGTATTGAATGTAGGATTGGTAATAAAACACACAAAATATGTAAATTTTCTGAACAATAATGTAGCCATTTAACTATATTGTGAAATTCCGAGAATATATCGCTGAGCATTGGATGAGAAGACATTTCTTCGTTGGTGTCGAACTTCATGCCGAAGGTATAGACACCGTGTAAACGCCATCATCCATGCAGTCTCCTGTGCATTATTTAGTATTGTCTCAGTTTCTCCAAACTTGAATGCTCCTATAAACCCACTCTTGACCTTTCCGTCATCTGCGATTACCGGAAAGCTGGCAAGGATGTTGCCGTTAACCTACCTAACCGGCTAGGATGTTGCCGTCATCTCCAAACTTTAAATACCGGAAAGCCGGCTCCAAACTTCAATGTGCTACTAGTTTTTGTATGCGAGAGCTCCACCTCCATTGTTGTAACAGCATCTGATGCGGACTAGTCCTTCATTCCCGTTACTCTTTGCTATCTCCACTTCGAACTTGGCGTAATGGCTCCCGGCCTCCTCTCCGGTGAAATTGAGAAACCCCGGAGCTGGCGTTTTCATTCTGTTGTCCGTATATCTTGTATTACAAGTATTTGTTGTGCAAAATGCAAGCTAAGTTCAATTTATGTTTATGTGTGTGTGTGTGTTGCCACTTTGTCACTTTTCCAACGTTTTCTCCAAAATTGTGATTTTGGTGAATCCTAATAACAATTCCCTCGTTAATCATTGGGACGAGCACCAAGGCAGTTTTGATTCCGTGCACAACGGCGATACCTCGAAAGAAATTGATTCTAACCCAGAAAGATGTTTTAAATCAAAGTTGAACAAGGGAAGAAAACTTTTGAATCGCAATCACATGTCTGGTCAAATTCTTGAACAGTTGATGTATACAGACGTTCCTTGCTTATGACACGACTTATGAGAGGATGTATGTATTGCATTTGCATCAAAAAAGAGAGAGAAGGTTGTAAGTGGTAAGGGAACGACTACCGATGCCGCTCCACTTCTAATCAAAGGGATCGATCCGAGGGTCGTGTTCACTTGCCATCGCCATTCCAGTGCAAAGGCATGTCGGGCACATTACCTGCCACATTTACAGACGCAATGTTAGATATAGCTGCCATTTGGAAGTCACTTCTCAAAATTTTGCTACTAAATTAATCTTAGACTTCATTTCCAGTGCAATTTTTTGCTACTAAATTAAGCTTGTGAATATAGTACATCTAAGCGGCAGGCACTAAAAGGAATTTAGTATGCAATAAACATTCAACGGACTAACCTTTCCCGCTCCTGAGCAATTTGAACATCGTTCAGTTTTTGGCAGAGATAGGGGTTGGTTTCCGCCATCAGCTGTCGATACTGGTTCAGTAAGAACAAGGGTTCCAGTGCTGGAGCAACGAGCACAAGCAAGATATCCTGCGTAAGTATCAAATACACAGGTAAGTTGACATATGAAACCAATCTGTGTAAACTACACTGTAATAGCAGAAGAATATGCAGTACGAGAGAAAGAGAGAGAGAGAGATTTAGAGAGAGAAGTTAATACTTCATATGTAATATTTTCTATATCATCAATCTTACAATATTAAGACTATATACTATATGAAACTGCTAACTAACTCTAACAACCTCTCTAACAACCTTTCTAATCTTTTGACAAGTGTCTTCATATTCTACCATTGGATTACTATCCTTAACATCCCCCCTCAAGCTCAGGAGAGGTAGAATCCAAACTGAGATTGCGACAATGAATCTGAAAGAGAGGAGCAGATAATCCCTTGGTCAGTATGTCTGCATATTGCTCACTGGAAGACACAAACTGAACAAGCAACTGCTTCTTTGCAACTCGTTCGCGAACAAAATGAATATCAACCTCAATGTGCTTTGTGCGTTGATGTAGAACTGGATTGGATTAAGCAATTACTGACCTTTGTGCATCTTACTATTCCTACTTCACCAGTTTTGTATTGTGATAATATGTCAGCAATCGCATTAACAACCTCTCTAACAACCTTTCTAATCTTTTGACAAGTGTCTTCATATTCTACCATTGGATTACTATCCTTAACAATCTGAACATCTCCATCGTATATATTTAAAGCTACAGTACATAAAACGAAAAGTCAGAAATAGAGGACATTATCACACCAGTTCCAAGACAATATTTGCATCGTTTATGCTCCTGCTGTTTCACATTGTTTATTTCAACTACCATCAATGCTGAGATCACTCCGACTGCTCCTCCAGAGAATGACGCCACTATGGGATCAACTTGACTGCAGTTTGAAAGTAAAGGAGATCAATAAACAAAACTGTTAACAACATAGTATCAACATTATTTAGCTTCGTTTCAAGAAATATGACATCCTAGGTTTTTCTAATGTGTAAAAATTGAGGATCCTTGACTATATCGGTTCCCAAAGCATTTGATTCCTACGTTACAGACGGAAAACAGTAACAATCGAATTTAAAGATTCATAACACGATAGATGGTAGGTCTCGGGTTCGAGACTTGGGAGCAGCCTCTCCATAAATGGGGGTAAGGCTAGCCGACATTCACCTCTCCCAGACCCTGCGTAAAGCGGGAGCCTTGTGCACTGGGTACGACCTTTTATAACACGATAGATGGTACAAATTTTCAAAACGATAATTACTAGAGAACAGGAGGGTTAATAGCCTGAGATATGAGCAATACCTCAACTGCAACGGCAGATGCATATTTACTATAAAGTCTTTATATGATGTGCCTCCTATTCCCAGCTTCAACTCCAACTGAAAGATGTAAAGGTAATTGTAGGCAAAGAGTTACAAACATAACCGAATCCATGTTTTATAAGCAACAACTACACTTATTTTGTTATGTTTCCTCATTTTTTACTTGCAAATTCCGAACCATATTGTCGGACCAGTAAAAAGAAAATAATGTTTATGATAACTGTTAAAACTAATCACAACAAGTTAATGCATAAAGAACTTACGGAGGGTGCTATGAGGCCACCGAAAAGGATAAACCCCGCAATAATTGAATAACAAACAGCATAATATTGCTTAAGGTTGTCTGAACTCTGCAAGCAATGAATTCACCTTGTGATTAATACTTTGCACAAACACTAGTTTTCGCAATTTTTTATGAATCGACAAAAGGCTACAACAAAATATGGCTAAAACATGTGAAAATACATGTCTTCACAGGGGCACCAGCTTACCAGGGGAGGCAAAAATGGAATGAACGATGGAAAACTAGGAAGTTCGTTTTCTTGATCTTCATTTACCGCTCCAAGCTCTGCACGTTTAATCCGCTGTTGTATCCTCAGCCCGCGAACCTACGCATATCGAAGCTCATTCTTAAAGAACACATTTCTAATGGCAATTGGAGAGTAATTTAAAACATGCTAAACTGAGAAAGTGGTAGCAACAAGCAATTGCTCTCACTTCCTCCATATGCAAGAAAATTTTGTTGCGACGACTCCGAATATTATCTTGAATTTCCTGCAGCTCCATTGTCGCAAAGTCCTGCACTGTTTCAGGCCCCTCTATGATACAAAATCTGCACAATTAAGCATGTAAAAACTAAAAATTACAGGCTATAAAACAATTTCCGTATCATTTTTGGGAGCTCTCTCTCTCTCTCAAACCAGAAGGCAGAGCTTTCTGTTTCTCTTGAGGTTTCTTTCACTGGTAAATTCCAGAGAAGCAGAGAAGAAGGCTCTCTGAGAAATGGCGATGGTGCAAGTGGAGACAAAACAAATGTATATCTTGAAGCACCGAAATTGTGCAGAACACTTGTCAACTACCGAACTCTAGGATTAGGAGAGAGAGAGAGAGAGAGAGTGAGTGACCGGCAAAAAAAAAAATGAGGGAAGAATCACCCACATTTAAAAATGATTTTTAGGGGACCTGGTGTCGTTGGATTCGAGTAGTTGTTCGGTATGTCACATTTAAAATTTTATTATCTGATGATAAACGTCGAAACATAAAGATAGGTCATCTCTAACCGAATGAGGACTAAAAAGTCATGTTTAGTACTATAATCCTGCAATGAATTATATTTTAATAAATAATATCAGGTTATATTTTATACCATATCTAACCGAGTGGGTCAAATGATCATATGCCAAACATAGCCTTTTGACAAAAAACTCATCTCCAACCGAGGGGGCTAAATGGTCATAGACCAAACATAATTGCTCAATAATTTATTATTCTAATTGAATTAATATGATTAATTAAATTAAATTACCATATTAAAATAAGATTTCATGATATATTTTGAGTGCCACTTGCCACAATACCGAAGAAAGCATGGTATTATTGCACCTGCCACAAAGTCAAGCTTGACATTCTGCTGCTGGAGGGCTGGCTGGCTAGCTGAAAATGGCCAGCCTGCTGGCCTGATTTGGGAGGTTTTGGCCCAATGGGGCCCCAAGCCCTTTGGCCTAGCCTTCGGTTGGAAACGGTTTTCGTGTTATTCTGAGTTATTTTTAACCCTATGATCCTTTGGCCGGATCGATTGGAGATGACCTTAGGTGTGTTGATTGTCTTTGAGACATCGGAGGTTCTGTGTGATTGAATACTTCACCCTCCTCCAAAGGCGCCACTCTTGAGAAGGTTACTTGCCTCATGCAAACATTGTGAATTGCAAGTGATGAATTGTTCTGATGATGAGGTTTATTTTTTAACTCATTATGTTTCAAGTTTAAACATTTTTCCCTCTCTTAGTGTAAAATATTGTTTGTGATAAAAAAACTTAAAATGAGACACTCTCCTTCATATATAAGATGATCAAGTGTGAGATTAATACTTTTAATGAGTGACTCAATTAACCATTTTCATTTCTTACGCGTTCAAAATTAGACAAATTCTTTGCATACATTTAAAAAAAAAAGATATTAAGGAGAGTATAAAATTATTACATTACGAAGAGAGAGTTTCGAACTCGGGACGTATGAGTAGAACCCTAACGCCTCTCCACTAGGATATTAGACCAATACTGGTCTTGAATTTTTTTGGTGCCCGGAGCGAATGCTCAAAACGTGTCTTTTTCCAGTACAACATAAATTAAAAAGAAATATTTATAGAGGGCTAGAACCCAATCGAAGCTGGGGGACTAGGCCCTTACGCCTATATTATATTACTTACCTAATACAAACATTTCTGATAGATTTCAGAGGCTCTAAATGGTCAAACACTTCGTCCTTCCCAAAACCGTTACTGTTGAGAGGGTTCCTTACCTAATACAAACATTTTACGTTTACTTAGAACTAGAAAAATAAGAATTGCAGGTGATGAATTGCTCTAATGATGATGTTTATTTTTTAACTTATTGTGTTTTAAGTTTAAATAATTCTGTTTCTTTGATATATATATTAGTGTAAAATCATTCGTAATAATAAAAAAAAAGAATAAAAATGATACTCTCATTTATATACAAGTTGATCAAGTGTGAGATTAATAATTTTAATGAGTGAATTAACTATTTTCATTTCTTACGAGTTCAAAATTACACAAATTCTTTGCATACATTTTTTTTTTAAATAGAAAATTTCTATTATTAAGGAGAGAGTCCTAAACTATTAGGTTATGGAATGTGAGTAGAAACCTAACGCCTATCCACTAGGATATTAGACCACCAGAGCTGATCCTGAGATTTTTGGTGCCTGCGTCAAAATATGTCCTTTTCCAGTACAACAATATAAATTAAAAAGAAATATTTAAAGAGGGCTGGAACCCAGTCGAAGCTGGGAGGCTAGGCCCTCACGCCCATATTCTATTACTTGAAGAAACAATATACAACGGGGGGAATCATAGTACCGAAACCCCAACAATAAAAAACAAAGTCACATGCAACCACTCCAAGCAGTCAACTTGGCCATTACATATTGAATCCAAAAGGTTGACGGCCTATTCTCTGCATACAATGCACAGAAGATAACAAGATTACTAATATAAAAAGAACATCTGAAAAGATGAACATATGCATCAACAAATAAGCAGGGGCGGATCCACAGTGGGGTCGTCGGGGTCAAACGACCCCTTGGAAACCATGGAAACAACCTTGAAGCTCCCATATGCGACCTCTTGGAGCTGGGGTTGTCGGGGTTGTCAGGAAGAGGAAGAAGAAGACTCGGCAGGAAGAGGAAGAAGAAGCAGCTCGCGCGACGTGTAGGTTCTGTGTAGAGTTTCTGACCTTTAATTCCCACTTCACAAAGACGAGAGAAAGAGAGAGAGGGAAGGAAAGTCCTCGGGGTGGTGGTGATGTAGACCTTCGTCGGGGTAGTGGTGTGGGTGTGCGTGGGTGTGGATTCGATCGGAGAGAGTGAGAGGGTTAAAGAGTGAAAAAGAGAGAGAGAGAGAGAGAGAGAGAGAGAGAGAGAGAGAGAGAGAGAGAGAGAGAGAGAGAGAGAGAGAGAGAGAGAGGAGAGTTCGGGGAGATGAGAAGGAGGACAATGGGGACTTGCCCCGTGGCAAGTTGTGATAGGTAGGAAATCCCAAAAAGGGATCCGGATAGGGTAAGTAAGTGGGGACCAAATTGTAAACTTCATTTAACTGTAGGGAAATTGTGAAATTACAAGGAAATCTTTGGGGAGGGGTTTTACAGAAACCCTTCTCAACACTTAAAAGCAAACTGCGTGCTTTTAATCAGGTTTGGCTCTATAATTGAACTTGTAACCATGCCTTTCCCTATGACGGAATTGTGATATGCTTTGCCAGATATTCACAAGGAATTCATTTTTCTTTTTCCAATTGCAAAATATTAGTGAACAAGTTGTTTCTTCTATGAGAGATCCAAGCATAATGGTTGGGTAGATGCAGATGAGAAAATCAGCAGTTGCTGTATTTGGCACAGTAAGATATTAACTCTTACATCTAAATTGAAAAACATGAAAATTTCCTAGTTCTCAAGGTCTCACGTGCATGCTCAGATACATTTGTGCTTCATATTTGTGTGTTTGATTCCGAGAAGGCTGACAAGTTGAAGCAATCTCTTCCTCCATGTTTGAACATTCAGGACCTTTGAACAAGGATTTTGGAGTAGCTGGTTGCGCTATCCTACCAAGACCCGATGAAATGACGATATGCATGCCGTTTCTGTTAAAAAAAAATATCCTTATTGACCCCCCAAACATTATTTCCTGGATCCGCCACTGCAAATAAGTAAACCATTCTAAGTGCAATTTTAGAAGTGATACGCTCCAAGTGTGATATTGGACAGAAGAGCGGCAGCTTCAACCAGTTCTGCTATATCCGGCTGGATGAGAGCTGCTAAAGACATGATTGTTCCCTAATAACATGAATAAATTGAGTAAACACCAAAAGTAGCGCAGCAAGGGAAGGAGATTTGAAGTAGATGAAGAGGTGTAATACCCGTATATGCAGCGCATCATTTCTGATAGATCAAATCGAGCCAATTCCTGCCAACTCCAATGCCGATAATCCTACAGTAAAGCATAAATCTTATTCTCTTCTGATAAAGATGTGTGTCCCTGACTCCAACGTGTTTGACGCACATTCCCTACCCATACATTGAAACCTTCATCTGCAAGGACGAATCCCAGTTATTCTTCTGGAGAATTTAAGAACCATGAATCACCTGGTCAAGAAAAGCCAGTAACCAATTACAATTGAGTTTGAAGCACATAAGAGCCTAATTTAAAATGTATCCCATGGATGTTCATCAATTTACACAATAGTTAGTTTCAAGAAAGGAAATTTCAACAGAACCTGAAAACTTCAGATCAGGGGGCACCAAATAGTGAGCTATACATTCAAAATTTGAAATAATCAACTTAGTGGGACCAATATGTTGAAAAAATTGGAAGGAGCTATGAAAGTAAGGCTTTTCACTAATCAGACGTCCAGAGAATCAATATTTTACTCACGGATCAGTTACGGGGAACACTCCCCACCAAAGCAAACTCTTTCGTCTGAATCTGGAAAACAAGCAGCAGTGGATTTTAACAGTCTGGGTATCTCAAAGTTACTTTAATCACAAATTTAACAATTAAACATATAAATGGGCATTATTTAGTGAAATATTAGTATAGTACTCACTGTGTGCTCGGAACAAGAGTACCCAGAAAGCTCAATGAGCTGCGCACAGAGGACTACAGCGGTGAACGACAGCGACCGATTCTGTAAAATTCAGTCGAGTTTTGGGTGATTTCGGAGGTCAAGAGGCTGATAAGGAAAGCTGCGACCGAAGGGCACTGGTCTGGAAGAAAAGGCTCAGGTCACTGCTGTCCCAATTCGCGAAGGAAGTGCCCCCAAAACAATTTCGGCCCTGGACAGGTGCACTGTTTGCACTGGACCAGGGCCGGCCGGCCCAGGCGATAACGTCCCCCAAACAGTACATATACAGATGCTAGAAATATATTAATGTAACCTGAAACTACTAGAACCATTCAATTCTAGCGTCTACAGCTTTAGCATTAGTTGGTACATGGGACATTCTTCCAAAGAGGGAGATGAGCTCGTTGAGGCTCTTATTTATTCCCCCTCTTGATGTGCCCTTCTAGGCTGCTAATTCCAGACGATCCAATCTCATACATCTTCCCTGCAAAAGCATGTGTGCCAGACTTCAAG